AATCTATATTTTTTTCTTAATTAATTAGTTTTCTAAATTTTATTGTTGATTACTTATTGATTACTTATTGAACGAAATAATCTAGATTTTCTTCTTTATTAATTGGCTTGCAAAATGGGAAGTTTTTCGTTTATTTTTGGCTTGCAAAATGGGAAGTTTTTCGTTTATTTTTGGCTTGCAAAATGGGAAATTGAAAAATATATAAAAAGTCAATTAGCTTGCAAACTGGGAATGAGTCATCCACATAGGTTGATGCGTTCGACTTCTCTGTGGAATCAGAGAAGTGGAACACCTGTCCTGGGTGTGAGCACGGACCGAAGAGACGCGTAAGCATTGTCTGGAATTCAGAAATATTTTTAGACCTCTGGGGTTCTTTTTTAATTTTTTTTTTTAAGGCAATGGACTTTTTCACGTTATTTATTTTAAAATGGAAAGTAGAAAGGTGAGAAAAACATGCATAGTCTTTTCCCCAAATTTTTGCTGATTCTATCCACTACTCTCTGATGACTTGTAATGCATTTTTTTTCCAGTTACTCCGGAAGAATCACTAGTCGAAATTCTTTTATTTTGCAAAAATCCTGTCACTATAAGTTATTGATAAGAATTTGAGATGAAAAGTAAAATATTTTTGGACACTTTTCGACGCTTGCATGATGGTTATTAGGTAGACTGATTATGTACCAGTACAGCTGGCTTACTTTAGAGCCTGTAAGTTGAAGCCGTCGGTGTATATAAAAATTATAGATAGTCTTACTCATTGAAGAAAAAAACAAAAATGAGCTGACTAATTTTCAGTCTTTATGCTTAATTTGGTCGAGTTTATACGGATTGTACTGTGATTGTACAATCAGTAACTTTCTCACATGTGACAGAGGTTGTATTTCAATATTTTAGAGATCATTCTGGAAGAGCTCAAAAGAGTTTATGAATAACTCGTTGAAGAAAAGATAGAAAGATCTTGGCCATTTTTCATCTTGTGTATGTCTCAGCGGAAGTTTTCATATTTTAGCTACAAAGGAACAATGCATAGAGTTTTTTTATACAGGCTTTGTGAATTTAAATGCAGTCAAAGACACGCTGGACATTATTATTAAATTATGGAGCGATTGTAATATATTCAATGTTGATTATCAGAGATTATTTAGGTGATTTGTATAAACGTCAACAACGACAAAAATTTTGAATACAAATAAAAGAAAATGAAGAATCAATAAAATTATTAATAATCGCAAAATCTGATGATGAACAAGAAACAGAAAGAGAATTAAGACAAAACCTTACTGATAAAATAAAAAAGTAGTATGAATATTGTTAGCAGAAGAAAGTGCAAATCACAAGACTATCTCTGTGTTTTCTGTGAAATTTCTCCTAGGTTGTTCTTAAATTAGAGAAAATAAATAGAAACAGCGTATATAACAGAGGACAGGATGGGAAACATGAGGAATAGTTCTATATGCAGAGATGTGATATGACTGTCCCGGAAAGGAACAACGATTCTGTTCGAATTCTTTCAGCGCAGAACAAAAATCGAATATTCTCATTTTTAACCCTTACCTATGATTTTTTGTTTATGTTGAAATTCTAAGTAGATAGAGCACATAAATCTGATTGCACAGTAATGGATGTAGAGTGTACATAAAGCAGACTTTTCATGAAATTTATTTTCGATCTTTTATACACCATTCGATAGAGGACATTGAGCTGATCACGAATATGTGCTCTTCGTTCTTTTTGGAGACATTTTACCCATCCTAAAACTGGAAAAACTCGAAAAGTGTCAAAAACCGAAAAAATGTAACGTTTTAAAAAAAAAACGAAGAGTACATATTTGTGATCAGCTCGATGCCCTCTATCGAATTGTGTATAAAAGAATCGAAAATAAATTTCATGGAAAGTCTGCTTTCTGTGTACCTTACATAAATAATGTCGGTCTCAGTATTTTTGCTCTAACTCCTATTCTGTTCCTTAGATCTTCCAGAGCAAATTCTTTTTTTAATAGAAGCACCGTGAAATTCTCTACAAAATCGCATCTAAAGTTTAATTTTGGAACTTCAAACAAGAAAACTAAGCAAATTATACAAAAGGTGCAAAAAATCCAAGCTTTGTAAAGCTTGCATTTTTCGACTTGAACTTTTTCTTCTGCTATTATTTCCGTAAAATAGCGTAGCAAAAGTGAAAACTCAGTTTGTGTTTGGTACTTTCAAAATGTGCTCTTTCTCGTGGTCTGTAAAGCAGATGGTGTACTTCAGAACGAAGTTTGAAAAATACGTCAGAAATTGACAACTTCTCCGTTTCCGAAAATGTGCCCAAGCAAGAAACGGAAAACGTGAGCGAAGTTTTGATTTTGCAGTCAGGTAGAGAAGAGCAATCATTTCTGATCAAAAGAAAACAAACCAATCGAAAACTCTTTTGTTTTGATGGAGTTATTGAACTTCTATCGAAAGCATCATCATAAGCAGAGTTTAAAAAATTAATGAAAAAATGTGACAACCGACACAAAAATTGTTATTTCATCGTGGGTTTTTATGTGAAAAAATTTGAAGCATAGCTAAAAAATGGAGCAAAGCCAGTCAGGGTTACAAAATGACTAATTCAGTTTTTCTTACTTTCAAGACGTTAATACAAGAAATCGTTTGTGAGTTTACAAAGTTTTCATGTTTTGCACGTTTTGTATAATGTTCTTAGTTTTCCTGATTGAAGTTCTGAAGTTAAACTTTAGACATAATTTTGTAGAGTATTTCACGTCCTTGTATTAAAAAAAAGAATTTACTCTAGGGGATCTAAGGAACGGAACAGGAGTTAGAGCAAAAATACCGATATTATTTATGATACACCCGTTAAGGTATTAGAAATGCAAAACTCGCGCAAACATTTTTTTTCATTTTTTTCTGATATGGTCGAAAAGAGTGGATAAAACTGCATAGGAAAATTTTACTTGCCGATTTTGAATTTCTCTCTTGGACTCATATTATTATAATAACGTGTTTTTGACTTCGTTTGTTTACAATTTTGAATAAGTAATTGTTTTAGATTATATTTTCTTAGTAAAAATTCTGAAAAATAATTTTCTTTTTCATTACTATAATGTTGTTTGGTTGATAACTTTCTACCTTCAAACGAATGAATTTGTGGAGATTGTTGAAGTAGTGGAAATGTTATGGACTCTTGTTGTTCTTGTTCAGAACATGGTCTAATAAGTGACAGTAATAATATACTACTAGTAGTAGTAGTTGTTACAGATTCCATTTCTTGAGACAGTGCGGTTGGTGTTGGCTGACGATGTGACTGTAAATGAGTGAGTTTTGAAAAATTGATATTCTCCGATGTTGACACTTTTTGTGCATAACTTCGCCGAGGAGTAGTAGCCATTTTATACATATCTGAATTCAGACGAATCAAATCACGTTCAACCACACGTGCATTACTTCGTAAACGCTGTAATTCTAATCTAGAAAAGGTGATAAAAGAATGGAAGAACGTCTTCAGTATTGGAAGAAAAATATACCTACCGACATTGCCGGCTTAATCCTCCTGGTCCACTAATATTTTCTTTTAAACGTTGTTCAAAAACTTTATTGGCTTTTTCTCTTTTCATATCTGAAAGAATCACTGTTCGCATTGTGGGTGCTGGTTTATTAATTCGATCTTTTAGTTTCATTATATTTGCATAATGTTTTTCACATTTATCATTATTGTTGAAGAATAATATCTTCTGATATGGTTGAAAATGACATTTATTAACTCCTTCGCAGGCACTGATCATCTTTCTCTTTGTTGTCGCTTTGTTCTTAAAGAAAAAATAACTGTAAACCTTTTTTTCATAGGTTCCATTAATGTAGAATTTTATAGTTTACAAACAGACTTAGTTTATCTTTAATTATAAACACTTGTAAAGAAAAGAATGTAATTATTGTAAACAAAACAAGGCCGCTTGAGGACGACTTTTATTCTATAAAAGAATATGTTATCTTCAGGCAGTGACCAGATTGTTTGATCAACTTCAAGGCCACGATCTGTCTGAGCCTGACAAATTTCGATAACAAGATCACCTGAACATTCTCTATGATAGATGGCTCAAAATACAAGTGCTCGTATATTGACACAGTTTAGAGACAATTGAGTTACATACGATTTTGAAGAATTGAAAATTAAATTAGAGAGAAAACGAAAAAGAATTGAAATAACTTTAATCATTTTATACACAAATGACAAAAGGTTGTAGAAAGATCGAGACACTTATAATTGTTTTTTTAACACTTTTGGATGAATGTTACATTGCTACTAGAAGTGCGTTTTTTGTTTTTCTTATTGTCAAATCGTTTATTCCTTCTTTATTTATATACACCATCCACAATTCGACCGAAATGTCAATCTGAATTTGTATTTTATTTGAATGAAGTAACATTCAATGACGAACATTCACTTTATTTTTTGCCTCAATAAAACTTTTAGTTTTCTGTTCATCTCGTTGACGTTGACTCTAAATAAGTTTGAAAGAATAGCTGATGATCTTTTCCTTTTACAAAATTTCCGCCAATTCTAAATGTTCTATCACGACCCTAATGAAACTTCTTATACCCAAGATCTTGAGTTAAGAGATGTCACGAGATCTTGGAAAAAACACCAACAAGTCAAGATTGGATTCTTGAATCTTTCACTCAAGATTTTGAAATATTTTGGCTTCCTTCACTCAAGATCTTGGGTTAACAAATTTCAAGATCCTGAGTGGAGTAAGCCAAGATGTTTCCAGATCTTGGCCAAGACCTTGGGAACAGAAAGGACGGTAGCGATTATTTGATGGAATCGGCCCCTGCTTGAATTCCATCGACACATACATGGTTAGATGCAGAATGAACAGGAGAACATTTCTAGCCACTCAACAGACCTTAGAGTTGCTCTCAGAAAAAACTAGGTCGAATGTACTGTAACCAAAGTTCTACTCTTCTTTGTTCAACGATGACGATCCTGTGCTCCACACTTCTCCACTAGCCACGACGATACATATACCATTCGATAGAGAAGTGTCCCAGGATAACTTGATATTAGAAATACTGTCTGGAAAGCCGTGAAAAGTGAGTGGCTTATTCCACGATGAGGATCCTGTGATCAACGTTTCTCAACTAGCCACTACGATAGATATAAGGTGCCGGTAATTCTAAATTTCAGCACTCTTCACTTTTCCCTTAAAAGTACACCATTCGACGCAGAATTTTGTGCTGATCACGAATATCTCCTTTTTAGTTCAATTTTATTGAGTTTTAGGGGGGGGGGGGGAAATGGCAAATAAGGGGGGGGGGTGCAAAACCCAAATTTTTTAAAA